TCCACATGAATTTTAGAAGAAAGTTAATGAAATTTTAGAAGTGATGCTTAATGAAACACATGTGATCTCCATTACGTCTCAAAATAGGAAAGACAAACCTCATAGTATTAAATGTTTTTTTGTTTTTTTTAATGATGGCATCTCAACTTGTTTGACTCATGTTTTCCAGATTCCATGAGGAAATGTGATGCGTAATACTGTAGCAGAGGGCTGTATGAATACATATTTAATGTTGCCCTCTTACGAAGTAGCTATGACTCATATGCTTACGTAAATACTGAAGTTCCTCTGAGTGTCTGCAATGCCACACATTGAGTGTGCATGTGTGTTTATGCAGTCGTGCAACACAAGGAAAGGAAGTGCACAAGCAACCACCAGGAAAATGAAAGATCTTATTCATTGAATCATACGTACTTTCATGGGAACTGATTACACACAGGATGCATCTTACCTTCTGTCTTGGCTATTTTCAAGCAGTTTTATGCGTCACATCGACGTCTTGGACTGTTGTGTCACAAGATTTTTTATTACAAATTCAAGGAGGACTTGAAGTTAAAAACAGCCCCTTAGCGTTGTATGGCAAGAAAAACGAAAGTCTCAAACTTCATTTAAAACAAAGATGTGTTTTTTGTGGATTAAACAAACAGAGGCCGCTGACAGCAGGCTTATGGAGTGAAACAGGACGTGACCTCATAGTCTTTGAAGCCCTGCCATTGCTCCTGTGTAGAGAAGGATGTTGAGTGAGACTGACCTGATGGCCAATTGTACACATGGTTCTCTGTTCCTCACACACACACTGGAAAAATGATTTTGTGGTTAAGTAAATATAACAGAAAGTACTTTCACTGAATAGGTTACTTCAAGCTTGGCTTGAAAATGTCAAGCAAATCCTACATTTGTAGTCAATTCAAGCATGAAGAAATGCTCGTGTTTATGTGTCCTCCTGAATTGATTCAAAAGAGCGTTGTAATATATGCAGTTTTTACACACTGAGTAATGAAATTAAATAATATTTAGTTAACTTGCTAGTGGACTTACAGATTAGACAACATGCATTAATTCCTTTATACCATTGTGCTGATTTATAATGTTTCATAAAAATACCATGTATGACTGATTTTATACATTAAATGTTTCAGATCTGCAGGTTACTCTGTCAATGTAGATGCATTTACTGACTTTATTTAATGTCACAAACTAAAGTTTACATATTGTTATATCATTGAAATTCCCTCATGAAAAAATGCAAACCTCTTATGTAAACGTCTCGTCCATTTCTTTTTTTCTTGCACTACAGACAGCCATAATTTAGTTTATCCACTTAGTTTGACCATTCCCACCCTCTAAACGAGTTCATTCTTGCTAATATACCTTTAAGGCTTGCATATATATAAATGACATCTGTTGGATTGGCTCTTCACCATATGTCCCATGGGAATATCTGAACTGATTATTAGCATGTTTTTATTATCATCGTTTTAGATTTTTACACCGTGGCAGAAAAAGCACCCTGACCTTGTCTGCTTAAAGTGAACTAAAATCTGCATAAATGAATAAAAACAAAGTCTAGCTAAACAATAAATTGGCCTTTTTTGAGTCATCAGTACTACAACTGAATGTCAAACATGCTGCTGCGTGTTGCATGAAAATCTGTCCTTCCACCTGCCTACTGTAAATTCCTGGTGTGAAGGCCTTCCCAAAAGCAGTTCTCGGTGAAGTATTTTCGGCATGGCATAGCTCTGCTGTGTCATTAAAAAACCTCTGTGTCTGTAGTTAGAGCTTTTGATTGTAGAGCAGCTTGGCTTGGGTGGGGTGGTTCTGTTCTGTGGCCGCCGGTCCAGAAACATATGACATTTCAGCCTTAGATTACGGTTCTCATTTAGCCTATGCCAGTGGGCTGAGAAACACACCTTAAATCCTTAAACCGTGTGGTCTGCACAAAAGACATGCATGTTGTGGCTTTAGTGTGGAACATTAAGGCACTGAATACTTCACTGTATGCTTCTTTTAAAATGAAGAAGGTATTAGTCAATGATTTAAGTTTCAAATTTGATCCTACACTGTTCTTACATGATCTCGTCACGTCGCATGTGAGTGGCGTTCAGTAATCATCTTTGAAATTAACTTGCATGTATAATTCAGCTCAAATCCTAACTTTTGGCTCAAATAATCAGTCATAACAATCACCGCTGTAATTAATTTCAGTTCATTTGTCACACTGGAAGGGGAAGGTCAAATTGAGTACATTGCATTCTACACTACAATTCAAATGAAGTTTGGGGTAAATACGATTATTATTGTTGTTTAAAGAAATTAATACGTTTATTCAGCAATAATGCATTCAATTCATCGAAAGTGACAATTAAGACATTTATAATGTTACAAAATATTTACAAAATGACAAATCAGCATATTAGAATGATTTCTGAAAGATCATGTGACACTGAACACTGCAGTAATGATGCTGAAAATTCAGCTTTGCATCACAGGAATAAATTACATTTAAAAATATATTAAAATGGAAAATAGTTGTTTTAGGTTGTAATAATATTCCACAGTATTACTGTTTTTACTGTATTTTGTTATTAAATAATGCAGCCTTGGTGAGTAGAAGAGACTTCTATAATAAAATAATAATAATAATCTTACCAAACCCAAACTTTTGAACGGTAATTTACATGCAAAAAATCACTTGTATTATTTACGATACCAGAAGTTCATCCTGAAACAGTATTTCGATGATTAAAAGAGATTTAAAGCTCATATAACATTATTTTATGGAATAATTAATATAAGGGTTTAACAAAAATTCAAGCTGCATGTTGCATGTACCTTTTAGAATGTATTAACATGCATTTTAAATGCATTACTGTACACACATTTCTTTTTGGTATGCATAAAAGACTTAATCTTAATAATTCCAAACTTTTCTGGTAATACTCTGATAATACTCTTATTATCTGCAAAAATAATAAGAGTAGTATGTTATATGCTCTTGTGAACATATATAGGCATTATGTATGAGTAATGTCAAAGAAAAACAAAATCCTCAATGTATCCTTTAAGAGTCTAAACAGATGAGATTTTTTGAAATAAGAAACCGTGAAATGTTAGTTCATCAGGAAGGAATGGCTATGCACCAGACATCAATCTAGTCCAACTGCTGTGAAGGTCGACAGTTCTGGCTATGCTCCTGCTCTGCCCTTGACGACCCATGTTGTTCAGGTCCTGTGGTCAGGTCTGTCCCCCTGCAGGTCAAATCACGCAATGACTTGAGATTTCTGAGCTATGGCAAAACATGAAATAAACATTGCCACACGTTGCCTCATGTAATTGTGCATTGCACACCTTGCCTCATATCACGATGACCATTACTATGCACGTGGGCAAGACTATGAACTTTGCATTTGTATTGCGTGCAAGCCACCTTCCTAGAAAGGTGAACTTGAATTTGTATGATTTATCATGGTTTCATCATATCATGTGATATCTTGAAAGTTAATTGCATTTCAGGCTGTGTTGCTAGAGAGGAAGGCCAGTCAAAATCCAAAAATAACATGCACTGTAGCTTTGAGCGTGTGTGTGTGTGTTTGTGTGTGTGTGTGCGTGCGTGCGTGTGTTTGTGTGTGTGTGTGTGTGCGTGCGTGCGTGTGTGCGTGTGTGTGTGTGTGTGTGTGTATGTGTTTGTGTGTTTATGTGGGCCTGAGTTTCTGGCAACTGATGAGGTACACAAGTGTGTGAGAGACAATTAGAGAGAGAACGCGAGTGCTGATGTTTTATTCACAAATTAATCATTGTTTTAAAATGGTTATACATTTGAATATCACATGCCTCTTAGAGAGAACACTGACAGAGTGTGTCTTGTTTGAAAACATAGTGATAATCACACGGCTATGTAAAACATCTGATTGGTCGGTTTCTGCATTCGGCAGATGATGATAAACTTAATCTACAATTCCATTTGAGAAATGACCTAACCGATTAATCATTTTTGAACTACTTCATTGAAAGTGATTTGCTAAAATGAATCAGACTGTCAGAGCTGAGAACGCGAGAGAAAGAGGGATGATTTAACATTAAAAACTCTTTTAAGAAATTACTTTTACTATTTATATTTATTTTGCTACTAAAATACTACTACTACTACTAATAATAATCTTAAGCGCTAATGGTAACTTTTGAGCGATGACTGATTCTATGGATCTTTTCATTGAAATGAACCAATTTAGCAAAAGAAACAGGGATGATTCACAATCATTCATTTTTTAAACTCTATTAACGACTCATTTGAATGCAACTTCTGATAACTTTTGAGAGATGACCGATTCAATGAATGCGTAGACTGAAACAAACTGAATCGCTAAAATGAATCTGCCTCTAAGCTTTAGAACGCGAGAGAAAGATGGATGATCCACAAACGGAAACTTTTTAATGAGTCGCTTAAACTGTTCGTGTTTATTTTAACAAGAACAATTATAAGAAGAAGCCAAGAGCAGTGTTGGGGGTAATGCATTACAAGTAACGCGAGTTACGTAATCAGATTACTTTTTTTAAGTAACTAGTAAAGTAACGCATTACTTTCCATAAAAAGTAACAAAGTAACGTAATTAGTTACTTTTTTATGGAGTAACGCAATATTGCAATGCATTACTTTTAAAAGTAACTTTCCCCAACACTGGCCAAGAGTGCGAGGGAACCTTTGTGGTAACTTTTGAACGATGACCGATTCTATGGATCCGTTCATTGAACGAACCGATTCGCTAAAAATGAACCGGACTTCTCAACGCTCAGACAGAGAGAGAGAGAGAGATAGATAGAGAGAGAGATGTGTTTGTGAGAGAGAGAGAGAGAGAGAGAGAGAGAGAGAGAGAGAGAGAGAGAGATGTTCTCTAATCAGTGACTGAGGGGAGGCGGGCCAAGAAAGCTCAGTGTAATGCGATAGCTGCTCCGCTCAGAAATGCTATTACACACATACTGACTCACTCACACACACACACACACACACACACTCGCACATCCACACGCTCTGTCACAGCTCTGTGCGAGCACAGCAGTGCGCTACAGCACGCTTCTGTGCGCAACGCAATTCCACTCCTGTCTGGCAGTTTGGACAAAACTTGGTGCCTCCCGAGTATGACTGAATGACTTACGAGAGCAAGACGATATCAGAACATTTAAACCAGGAGGGCAGCGTGTTTTAAGCGGACGATTAAGGGAGAGATCCCTGCGGAAACCTCTATCAAACCATCGGAGACCAATAAGGCAATGGAGCGCAATAACGCACGCAAATCCATGACAGCTGAAGACCTCTAATTTAGTATTATTCGAGGAAAAGCCGACAAAGCATGACTGTATGAGAACATGAAATAGCTAGATCATGTTATGCATTGTTTGCATTAGCTGTGCGCAATTGGCTCAACAGAACTGCATTTGAATATGACTTTCTGAGCACTAAAAAGGCAAAAAGTCTTGTTTTCTTTTCTTTTCTCACTCTGTATTATCGGCGTTTGTTCCTTGAAGAAGATCACTAGTTGAATACAGGTCACTTCTTCAAGGCAGCGCGTTTTTGGAAAGATGGACTTCTGGATATCTCACCAAGGGATTGCATTTATTTTTTGCTTCGTTCTGAAAGTCGGCGCAACAGAAAGTAAGTTTGTCTGTTTTTCTTTAGCTTTCATGACTGTATCGGTGTGTCTAAATTCCCATCCAGTGAGGCTATCCGCAAATGGCAAACAGATTTCTCTCCTGGCGAAGCGAAGCGACGTGTGTTTCTGCTGTCCAGGCAAACCAAGCTGAGAAAAGGAGAGCTTCTGGTTTTATTTAGTGGAGAAAAAGACTGCCCAGCAGTCTTACATCCTTAGAATAAGTGCTTACGAGACATTGTATTTATTTTTTATTTTATTTTATTTTAGATAGTTTCATGTCTAAAGATGAAACAGAGACATTCTGATTTAGGAATCTGGACAACTTAAGATTTCCAGACCAAACTGGGGTGTAATGTATGTCATATGTAATCATAAAAAATAACTAAAAAAAAAAACGTAAAGGTTCCGATTTCAACGGTAAAGGTTTTAAAGCCTAATCGGATAACTTTTTTAAAAAGTTCCTCTAAGAAATCATTAGCCTATATGTAGATATAAATACCTATAATCTAAACATCAAAAGAACCTTTTCTATAAAGAACCATGTAGATAGGCTACAGCAAATGGGACTTTATATAGCCTAGCTAAAGAATATAAACCATTTTTAAGAGAGAACAGCAGAAACCAGAACGTGAAATTAAGTCATATTCAGTGTAGCCCTTCCAGAAAACATCACTTCGCGATTATAACGAAGATGATGTAGGGATCTAAACTAGCAGGGTTCATCTGACTTAACCGTTATGTTAAGTTTCTTGCGCTTCTGGTGATATCATGGCAGAGTTATATAGTATTATATATGTATGCAACTGAATGATATTCATGTAACATATTTGAAGTATTCCGAGGTAGGCTACCTCAAAATATACTGCCGTAGCCAATGTGTATGCAGAACGATAGATACTGATGGATTTAAAGTAGCCTACCGTGTGAGTATTGTTCAGTTATAGTGTCAAATAAGGAATAGGCTACTCACCACTGTAACGACGAGAAAACTACAAAACTATAATTATATCACAAATATACGGTTAGATAGCTGAGCCAGAAAAGGCAAAAGATCATTAAGGTTTACAGGAACCTCAGCAGATGACATTTACTGACTAAAGATTCCTTTAAAAAGTCGACCCAGAGGTGTTTGTATATTTGGTTCCTCACCGTTTCATAGTAGCCTACACAGTCGTTGTCCACGTTTTGAAACGTGCTTGTTGTCGGTCATTTTTGGTCTTCATAAGGGGTTTTAACGGGAAAACGGAGTCACGGCGGGAGCGGACTTCAGAGCGCGCGTATAGCCTATATATTGCATTAGTGTTAATTGCGACGTGTTTCGCCCATTTCTCCCGGAATAACACAAAACAATGGTTCATTAGAAGCTTTCAAATAAGCAGAAGTGATAAGGCTGCAGCAACACAATGTCGTCCAAGTTTCCACAGGAGATTGTTTTCACAGATATCGTCAACAACACATCGTTAATTTGAGTATTTTTGAGTAATTTAAGTATTTTTGTAATTGGTCGTATGGCTCAAAACCTCTTAGTTAGTGAGGTATTGTGATAATATACATAATATTAATGGTGTTTTTGTGCAATTTACAGTCATCTCTATGCCCTAGTCTTCTCAAAGAACATACATTTATCTAGAGTACAGCAGCACCTGCAGTTTTAGACCAACAGGTTGAAAAAACGATGAAGCAGCTAGAATTAGTGGTGAAAGGTCTTCAAATAATGGAAAGCTGCAGCTGCGAATGAATGAACCCCACTTGCTTATGGATGACATTGGCTTGATTTAGGCTCTATGCCATTGTTGCATTATTGCTCTTGACAGATAGGCTACAAACTCATCATTGGAGCAGCTGGCTTATGGGTACGGTGGCATTGCAAATGATATTACTTATTAGGAATAACCACTTTAAAGTGGCTAGACTAAAGCAGCTTTAAAAAAATAGGGCTTGCACTGTTTGAAGTGCAGAGTTCAGCAGTTGAATAGAGATGGCATTTTACAATGCTGTTTATTTTCTGTGATCATTAGCAACGCCTGCAATTACATTTTGATAATTGTTTTCATATTTACTCAGGGGGTAATTTGTGTAAACAGTTTTGATTTGCAAGCCCATATCTTGTTGCAGACAATTATGCCATTATTTTAAGGTTGGGTGTTGAAAAACCCATTTGGACCGCAGCCTGAAACCGTACACATGCAGCACTCTCGTAGGTACTTCTGTAACGCCCCCCTCCCAGAGCAGCATCGACTGCAACAAGCGCAACACAATGCACTGAATTATGGACAACAAAGACACAGCATCTCTTGTGTGAGATCCATTGCCTTTAGGGGCCTTTCTCAGTTTTTTTGTTTTGTCCTGGCCAAAAAGTGACACGTTGACCCACATAGAATGATATCAGACTGTCCATGTGTTAACAGTGTCGTTGCAGTGGCATATTTTCTTTTATTCTCAAAAACACTATTTTCACCTGCCTCTCTATTTGTGCCAAACACTACATTTTGTCAAACACTGCACTCAAATCTGGAACCTTCTCAACGAATCCTTCCAGGATGCTTACCAGATATTTAACTTAGAATTTTCTCCTGTTTTAGAAGTTCAAGATTGTTGCACTGATGCATTTTGGCCTGTTTGCAATTGCATTTTTACTGGGTATTTTAAGTTTAAGGAACCTGTAACTTATTTAGAGGTAGAAATCTATTATATTTCACCTTGTTTTTGGAAAACAAAGGGACAGAGAGCATATTAAACTGCATTTTATTGTTTTTGAGTGGTGTTTGCACATGCAAAACATGCTTCCATTATGCTAGGATGTAATGGGTGATTACTAGGGCGTTGCTATGTGGTTTTAAGAGGTGTTCTAGGTGGTATACAGTATTGTGTGTTTCTATGCTTTTGCTAGGATATTTTTGGTGGTTACTTATTGATAAAAAACCCACTTCCATCATTTTTGGTCCTTCTATATGGGACGCTTTTGCCTGTTTTATCATCTGCCAGGTAAACTCCCACGTCTGATTGATCACCAAGCTGCACAGTTTGTTCATGTTTGTAGCACAAACAGTGCAAGTTTAACCAAAGTTTATTTTTTTAGGGTTTGTTTAAATCACTAGTATGAACAGCGTTGTAGTTTTAGTAATTATGATAATTGCATATTAGCAGCTTTTCTTTACCTCTAGGACAACATTTTTGTGTCCACTTTAGCTTGACACACCTGATTAAAGGATAAAGAGACACATATAAATACTTAATGTGAACAAACAAAGCACTTAGTTCTCCCCAGCCTTCCTGCAAATAGACAGAAAGACGCACACACGTATCTACACACATCTTCTTTTCATCTACAACACCCCGAGTGGTTGTGTATGCCGTTTCATCCTATTTTTCTGGGTTTCGTGAATAGGAGAAATACTAATCTATGCAGAAGCTAGCAGTCTCAGCTCCGAAAAGAAGGTCAGAAATTTGCATTTGGGGCCAGGAAACCACGACCGGATCAATCCCTGCGGAGGCAGTGGGTGCTGAGAACTCCCTGGGTTGCTTGAATTGAGGAGGAATTAAAAATATAGCATAAATAATTGAAATGGCCCCTCCTAGTTAGTGTCATTTTGAGCTTTTAGTGGAGCATGAGTGTGGCTGTGAGAGGGAAGACAGACAACGTGACACATTGATGTTTGTAAATTAGGGCACCGCAGAAGTTTCGGTCAGCGATAACTGTAAAATGTATGATGCACGATCAGATGCACACTGGGAATTGGTGACTGAAGTGCATTATAAAATCTCTAAAATCTGATTGGATGAACTGCGTTTCTGAGTTTTTGTAAAATAGCTGATGCATGGTCCTGGACCTGTATAGCATTTGAATTCCACGTTAATTTAGCAATCATTTGTTCTTTATGTCTTATGTCTTAGAAACACCCTAAAGTTGGTATAATACATATACAGTGATTACTATTAATACATATAATTATTTATGGAATATTGACGTCTTGTACCATTTTTATACCACTTAGTTCTGATCCAGTTGATAATCTTGTGGTTTATAATGCTCTAACAGTGCTGTTTGTGAAGCTTGGTAGCTCTTTTTATAAAGAAATTAAAAGGTGTGGAACCCTTTCCAAAAAGCAAAACCAAGACATTTCAGTTATGAAAATGAAAAATTCAATGTTTTTTAAAGGGATAATTCAACCGCAAATTCTGTCATCATTTGCTCACCCTCATGTTTTTACAAACCTATATGGAAAAAGCAGACCAAGTATCATAAAAGTGGTCAATATGACTTGTGCGCCATATTTCATGTCTCCTGAAGCCATATGAAAGCTTTGTAAGAGGAATAAAATGAAATTCATTTCATATGGATGCCTATTGGACTCTTTTGGTGAGTGCTTAGATGGTAGTGAGACTCGTGAGAAAGACAGAATGAGAAAGCGTGAGCGAGAACGCTTTGGTAAGGATGAATGGATCAGTGCTGATTTCCTCACCGCGGGTGACAGCACTTTTTAATTAAGGTGCGAATGGAAGGATGAAGAGAGAAACAGAGAGAAAAAGAGCAGGTGAGAGAGATGGAGATATATCATGGTCTCTCTACATGGACGCAACTTATCGCCACAGTGACCGCTCAGCACAGCGATGATTCCATTAATAGAAATTAATACCAGCAGAGAGGAACACAAAACATCTGGGTGCGTGCTCAAAACATGCACACACAGAGTGTTTCGTATTTAGAGGGCTGTACGTTTTAGATCCCCTTTTGTTTTAGTCTTTCTTTTAGTCTTTAAAAGCATCAGCTAGAACCTCATGTTATTAAGGGATTAGACTTAAAAAAGAGAAAAATCAGTCATTATTTCCTCACCTTTTATGTTGTTCTAAACATGTTTAACTTTCAGACTGAAATACGAGTCATTGTTTACTGGTAAATGTTCCCTCCAGTGATCCCTAACCACTGCAACCGGATCAGTGAGTCAGTGAGTCAAACCTGAGAGGTAAACCGGTCTGATCTGTGAAAAACTTTTTTAGACTGGTTTTGTAAACTGGATTAATTGAAACGATCTGACTCAAAAGAATGATTTATTTGCAAACCGGACATGGCTACTTTTCTCATGAACGTGCGAAGAAGGGCCAGGGATGTCATGTTTGAAATGGTGATGTGCAGTATGAACGAAATATTAATTTAGATATTAAATCTTTTGAGTGAATTGGTTGATTTGGGTCACAAAACTGGTTTGAATGATTTGTTCACACAGATTCACCGAACCTGTGATCCAGTCACAGCTCGATGACTTTCAGTCTGTTTCTCACAGAAAAGATGGCACACATATGGACCATGTTTATGCAGCTTTTATGGATGTTTATGGTCATATTTGTTTGTCATCATTCTCATTTCAACATCTGCTTTTGTGAAAAAAAAAAGAAAAATGTGAGTTTGAAATTACATAAGGGCGAATAAATATTTTATTTTGGGATGAACAAGCCTTTTAAAGTTACACAAACCTTATTTTTATTCTTTGTTAATTCCAGCAACCAGGTCTGAAATCTCTTCTCGGGGCTGTCTGTAGCCTATCTCTCCTTCTGTCTCTCTACATGAAAGGGCAGATCTGTCTAAAAAAAAAAAAAGTGCCAAGCTCGCAAAATCCCCCCTCATGGATTTATTTATCCTCAAGACCCTCTTCCCTGAAAACACACAATAGCGCGATAGACACAGCCAGAGAATACATGCAGACAGAATGAAAATGCTAGAATGATTGCTATCTGTCTGTCCTTTTGTGTTCCTGTAATATATTGGGTAATAATACCGAGATGAGGTGAGGAATTCATGGGAGGAGGGCTGCAAGGGAGCTGTCAAGTCATCTTCAGCACAAAATAAGAGGAGAAAATAAGGAAGAAGGAAATGAAACCTATTTTTAGGACCTTTTTTTTTTTTTGCAACGTGACATTATTTTCAAGATGACTCTAAACACAAAAATCCTCAATGTAATGCAAATAATAATAATAACAATAATAAATGTTATTTAAATGGTTTACGCTGTGCTAGCTTAATTTAGACAGATGGACACATGCATAGATGGATAGATGGATAGATAGATAGATAGATAGATAGTGTGTACATATATATTACATACTCTTTGTGTGTGCACTTACATTTTACTGGCTAGCTTTTCCCCTTCAGAGGATGTAGTAGAAAAGGTTTGTCAGGATTCGGTTGTTGCCTTAAATGCCACCTCATTTTAAGTGTACCTTTTAAAAAGACATAATAGCAGTGGAAATGTCAACACTTGAAAGAAGCCCCAACCATCCTTATACCTTTTATTCCGACTCTTATGACTGGCACGAATGGGAGTCTTGGCTTCAGGCGATACTCAACTCCTTGTCTCAAGATTTTCCACCACACCAATGCATACCGCTGAAGATCTTTAACGTGGTTTTAGGATGCCCTGCAGCTCACTTTTGAAGGGCAATTTCACAAGTTTTCAGAAAATTCTGGAGTTGTGCATTTGGGGTCGAGTCTCTTTGTGTCTCATTTTTACCGTGTCTCATTTTTGTTTTGATTCTCCCTGGCTATTCATCGCTATTCCTGTGTTGCTTAAATATTAGAGACTCCATCTGTTCTCATCCGGGTTATGATCGTATAATTCATGCAATGTTAGAAATATGCCCGCTGGTATAGATTCTGCTATACGTTAGGAGCATATGGGATAAGGGCAAAGTAGTCATGAAGTTTGTCCCGTCAGAAAGAGTAGGAGTTTTCCTAACACTAGCTAGACAGCCGTGTTTATCTATGTATTTGCAGAAGCCAACATCAGACCCAGAACTGTCAGTCAAACCACCCTCTTCCTCTCTGAACCTGCACTATTCCCACTTTCCCTTTCCGACGTGTGCTGTGATGTATCCTGCTAAACATAAGCGTGTTAGCCAGTTCCACTCACCTTTTGTGGAGGTTTACATTTTTATCATACAGAAAATTTAATCTTCAGGCTCGTTTTCTCAAGGTTGATGGCAGTAATCATGTGTACCTATGCTCTCAATGTCTGAGTCATTCCTTTCATCCAGTACCTTTTTAACTCTGTAACCTTTACAAATGAATATGTTCTATTTTATAAAATATGCACAGGTCAAGCTCAGACACTTCAGCTTTATTCAGTTTAATGTGATTATTTAGTTGCACAAAATGAGCAGGACTGAATTGAAGAGCTACAGTTAGTCACTGCTAAATGAGGGAGTGACAGATAGCTTACCTGAGGATGGCATAAAGCTTATTTTGATATATCTTTTTGAATGCCTTTTGAACCAGGATGAAATGTTTAAGAGTTGAACGTTTTAAGTTGCTATTTTCTCACCACACTTCCTAAGGGATGATGTCATTCAGGAACTGGTGTTTGTTAGTTAAGGGATTTTACAAAAGACAGACAGGATATAAAGTGCATCAAGGACATGGGGAAAAACCTATAAAATGATGACCAATTCAAACAATATTTCCAAGAAACATGCTGAATATTAAAGGGATAGTTCACCCAAAAATGAAAATTCACCCTCGCGTAGTTCCAAACACATAAGACATTAGTTCATCTTCGGAACACTAATGAAATCCGAGAGCGTTCTGAGCCTGCATAGACAGCAATGCAACTGACATGTTCAAGGCCCAGAAAGGTAGTAAGGATATTGTTAAAATAGTCCATGTGACATCAGTGGTTCAACTGTAATTTTCTGAAGCTACGAGAATACTTTTTGTGCACAAAGAAAACAAAAATAAGGACTTCATTCAACAATTTATTCTCTTCAAAAAGTATTCTTGTAGCTTCATAAAATTACAGTTAAACCACTGATGCTGTCCGTTGCTGTCTATGGAGGGTCAGGAAGCTCTCGGATTTCATAAATAATATCTTAATTTGTGTTCCGAAGATCAACAAAGGTCTTACGGTTTTGGGACGACATGAGGGTGAGTAATTAATGACAGAATTTATATTTTTGGGTGAACTATCACTTTAACGCATTGCTTTTAAATTTTGCAGAGAATAGCAGACATGCCAACAATGGCATCATCAATTCAAACTTAAATAATGAACTGATTTAAAATAAATATAATTGTGATGTTCTGATAAAAGAAAACAAATACATTTGATTTCCATTTATGCAAATTGTAAGTTAAATATTCTGTGAAGGTGACATGAAAATGTGCTGCATAGTAGGAATGACCCATCTGCTAATTCCTCAGTTGTCGTTTGACTGGTATGCGGTTAAAAAAACCCTCACTGCACGGTTGTCAGGGTGAAAGACCAGAAAGTATTTCTGTCTCCTAATCTTAGCTCCATTTAGAATAATAATGACCAGAGTGATATCCTCTATGTGTGAGGGCGGCATGAAAAAGGGCTGTTGCGCATGTTAACGTGAACGCTAGCATGTGGAAGGAGTGTTTGGTGAAGATAACAGAGAAACCACGTTGGGTGAGGTGGTAGAAGAAAGGCTTTGTTATGTTGGATCCCATTGCAGCTTTGGGGGTGACCTCTTGAACCTCCAGAGAAGAGACCTGCGTGTCACTTCCTGTCTCAGAGTTGGCTGTGGTGGACTATTATATATTGTAGAGAGCATCGGAAATGTGTTAAATGCTTCCAGACTTCTACATTAACATTGTGGGATAACTTAAAAGAACATAAGGTAATTGGAAATGTGGGCGTCATGTCACGGAATTGTCAAATTAAAAGCTTTATTTACTGTAGAAATACAGTATCCACATAGCAATGCCATTAGGGAGATGTTATTTTAGCTTTAAGTCAGCATTCCCAACCATTTTTCCCCAACCAACTTCTATAATGAGATGTATTTTCAAGAGGCCTCTGTGACATCATTCAACATGCACCAATTACTTGCAGGAACTTGTATTAATGAACACAATAGGGCTAAGGTTGATTTAATGATGGTTTAACCTTAATATAGCATTGCTTTTGTCCCTTGTGTGTTTTGACAACTTGATAAGTATTCCTAGTAGCCATGAAGTGCTCGCTCAAGGATTTGCTAGCTCTTGTGATTTATGTATTTAATTCAAACCGCACTGCTTGACCAAATTAGCATTAAGTATGTGGCTAATAACTAACTTATCTAGCACTCTACCTCACCTCACTTTCTCATCTCCCTTCTGTCTTAGTTGAGACATGCGGAGGCCAGCTGGATGCCAGTAATGCTGGTTACATCACCTCTCCAGGATACCCTCTGGAATACCCACCCCATCAGAGCTGCCAGTGGGTGATCAGCGCACCCGAACCCTCTCAGCGCATCGTGCTAAACTTCAACCCCCACTTTGAGCTGGAACGACTGGATTGCAGGTGAGAAGAAAGTCTGGGATAAAGGAGATTAGCTGGAAAAAGGGGGAAATTAAGTACTAGTCCTATGGAACGATAAGCATGTGCGTGCAATTAATTTACCTCCAGTGGAGCATTTGCAAACCCTGCCCTGTGTGTGGAATTGTTGATGAGGCGAAAGTGGAAGATAAGGGAAAAGATGGTGTGAAAGAGGAAGACGTCGAATACACATAATTTATCGGATGAGAGAGAAAGATAGGAGCATTTGCAAACCCTGCCCTGTGTGTGGAATTGTTGATGAGGAGAAAGTGGAAGATAAGGGAAAAGATGGTGTGAAAGAGGAAGACGTCGAATACACATAATTTATCGGATGAGAGAGAAAGATGTAAGTCAGGGGGAAGGGGTAGAGAGGATGTGTGAGAAAGAGATAGTGGTATGGAGGATTTGAGAGAAAAAGCGACCCGGAGATGTGGAACTATGTGAAGAGAGGAATGACATTGAGGGTGAAGTTAAGAGAGATATAATAGGGTTTAGAGCGAGCCTAAAGGGCTTACGCTGGGATGCAGTGCAGCTGTCACTGGGAAAGGGAGTCGTCTAGAAGGCTTTTTGTGGAACTGTTTCCCCTCAGCTGTAAAATTAATTACGTTCATCCATAGGCTCTCGCTTCTCAGAGTCTGACTTAAATTACAATGATCAGTAGATTGGTTCTACCAATGTCACTGTTTCTTTTACCCTATAGAACAGGGATTGGCAACTCCGGTTCTGGAGGGCAACTATCCTGAAGAGTTTAGCTACATCTCTAATCAAACGTCAGCTCTCCAGGACCAAAGTTGCCCTTGTCCCATATAGCTGTGAGACTTGGGATATCCTAAAACAAGTGTGTCCAGACCTGCTCCTGGCGGGCCACTATCCTGCAAAGTTTAGATCAAATTCTAATTAAACACACTTGAACTAGTTAATCAAGACTAGAAACTTCCAGAAAAGTGTGTTTGGGCAAGTTGGAGCTAAATTCTACAGGACATTGGCCTTTCAGGAGCAGGATTAGACACCCTTGTCCTACAAGGTAATTGTTTAAGACACTTCTAACATTTGGACAGATGGCAAAAGATGTATTGTAGATGTATTCAGGTTCAGATTTTTTAATGGGGTGTAGACCTCTAAAGGAGCATTTTTAATAGGAGCAGTGACTGCTAGCAATGAAACAAAGTTGAGTAGAGTGTGCAATGTGGTGATCTATTCCCCAAAGTCATGACAAATCTGTACAAGGTGTACAATGTTAAAGGGATAATTCACACAAAAATTAAAATTTTGTGATAATTTTCTCACCAAACCTGTATGACTTTCTTTCTTCTGGGGAATCAAAAAGAGAATACTCACCCACAGGTTTGATACAACATGAGAATAAAAAAAAATCATGACCGAGTTTTCATTTTTGGGTGAACTATTCCATTAAGACTCTCTCAACGAATGACAAATGGTCTTGTACTTTGGATACATTAGTCAAAATTACTGTCTGGGATTTTACTGTCTGAAATTACTATCTGTCATCTTCAGGGCTGTATTGTCCCTGCTGGTGTGAAATTGATGTTGTTTTTAAGCACTTTCTTTTATGAGTGGTTTAAACCCGCTGTGGCTTCCCCACGGGCCGTCCATGTGCATGACATCAACAGGAAAGGGTGTGTCTCAGTTAAATCTGTTGGATTCCCCTAAAAAACAACCAGCTATGAATATACCGGTATCATTTAAATTAGGCCATGTGTCAAGTCCTCATATATGTTTGTGTAAACAAGCAAGATATTCACTTCTTTCTGCTTTGTGGTACATTTGGAGGTTTTAACCAAACAGTCTAGGAAGAGACATTGGAAGAAAGTGGTAGAGATAGAGAGAAGGACAGACACCAAAAATACACACCTCAGTGGCTGATGTCTGTTGCTGATACAGCTCAGGCTAATGCCCCCTCACTCCCCAAATGAACATTCTGGATTTGCTGTGTACAAATCTTCAATCTCTTTTCCTGCTTGGGTGGCTTCATCAGGTTGGACAGCTCTGGCTGTATTTGTTGTTCAGATTAGGATTCCTAAATGAAATAGAGTGTACAGAGGTTTCAGAAAGGTATTACCTTGAAAGACATTCCCAATTGGACTCCAAAAACAGGCGAAAATGTCAGGCCTCTTAGTTCAGGGGAAAATGTAATGGTGGTTGCTTGAGAGTGTGTCAATGAATAGTTAGTTACAGTAAAACAAGGGTCTCCAGTCCTGTTCTTGGAGGGCCACTTTCCTGCAGAGTTTAGCTTCAACACACCTGCCTGGAAGGCTCCTTGATTAGTTGGCTTGGGTTTGTTTAATTAGGGTTGGAGCTAAACTCTTCTGGAAGGTACCCCTCCAGGCAGAGCCGATCCTCTCTATATGCAAAGTATGCAAGCTGCGTAGGGCCCCCGAAACACCAGGGGGCCCCCTTGCTCTCATAGATGATTAATTTTAGTTTCGTTTTTGAATTTGGCCAACGGTTATGAAAACCGCTTATGTCATTTATTTTAATGCGGTGCACCGTCGCTCTTTCTACGTAAAAATCAGTCAAATCATGTAACGTGAATGTCATACAGTGTCTTACTCGAGACAAAAAAAAAAACGAGTTGAAAGCGTACCGCGCCACGGAAGAGACACCGTTTCTCAAGCGGACAAAGGTGTTTCATTCATTCATAACTCATCATTCATAACCTCCCCTGGTTTCCTGACAAACTGATATAAAGCTGTGCATCCTGCCATAGCGGCTATTGAGTAAAACCAGCCCATCAGATTAGAGTTTGCCATTTTGGGAAAGCTCTCTTTTTTTGTTTGCTGTGTGCACCACACAATATCCAAAACAATGGGCAATAATTGTACCTTTAGATGCACAGCTTTTCACCGGGGCAATACTCTTTGAGCCTTATCTATGCATAAAAGGTACATATCAGTATCTTAGAGTAGTAGGTTATAATATGAACCCTTGAGGTACTATTATGAACCTTAGGGGTAAATAAGGTACAAAGATGTCCTTTTATGGGTTCTACCCCAGTGACAAGCTGTTGTACTTCTAAAGGTACAATTTTTGCACATTTATTTATTTTTTGTCCTCAGAGTCCATCTGAGGCTGATATTCAACATCAGCAGGGAATCAATGTTGCTGTTTATATGCCGTCAGTTCAGTAGTAGGCTGAAATTGAGCTGTAAGTGCTTTTGTAGTTGTGGCTTGCAAGATTATGATACCAGAAAACACACACTGTCCATTTACTACACTCATTCTTAACCCTCATTACTCCGTCTCACAGTCTGAATAAGGGGAAGTGGAAAGAAATGTGTGATGAAAAATTACAAGAGGTGTCAGGTGCTTTACACTACTGTGCTTCATAAACTGGTCTCTTTCTAATGGTCCACTTCAAGCGTCCATCTCCTCCATCTGTATTTTGATATATACAATGAGTCATCGTCAGCACATTTAAGCGAGGTATGATTGAAAGGCCTGGCTCCGTCTTTTAGATGGCAAACACTTACACACACTATATAGCAAGCACATTTAAATTCACCTTGTGCTTATAAGTGCTGGCTCGGAGTCTCTGTTACTCGGAGGAGCTGCCTCGGTTTTGCTTAGCTTGCACAATTTACTCTAGACAAGGTCAAAGCAGCTTCTTGTGCCCTAAACCATACTAACTAATGCGCTTCTAAAAAGCATCTTGTGGCTCACATGATGTAGTTAGAATAGGTGTGGTATCAGTGACATTTTTCAAGGGGCACTTTCAGCAGGGAATTTTTATTCCAGGAGCAAAGTCATATGGCTTTTACCTGGAGGGCTGTGAGCAGATTGATCTGAGATAGATGCAATAAAAATGGCAAATGAAATATCTGGCCATATCTTTAATGTGATACTCTTCTCCTTTGAGATGAAAGAAAAAGGGCGGAGAGGTGAGAAGTGATCTCTATCTTTTGCACTTAGATAGAGATCTATCTATCCATCCATCCATCCATCCATCATCCGTCCATCCATCCATCCATCCCTATCTGTCTGTCTGTCTGTCTGTCTGTCTGTCTGTCTGTCTTTACATCCATCCATCCATCCATCCATCATCCGTCCATCCATCCATCCATCCATCCATCCATCCACCCATCCATCCATCCATCCATCTATCTGTCTTCTATGAAGTAATTTTTTCAGTCCATTCCTTCAGGTCTCCACCCAGTTTGCCTCATTGTCATTCTCCAAATAGATCCCCATTATATTTTCTCGCCCTAACACATTACTCTATATGCAAACAGCAAGTTCCTTCTGAATGCTAAATACTGAGTTCACGTAATGCATACAGAGGAGGAAGTAAATTGTTGTTGAAGGATTTAAATGTTGTACTGCAGTGGAAGGGCTTAAGTCGAAACCAGATCTGATTGAGAATCACCTCTCAGACATAAAATATCGACAGAGAGACAGTTGTTTGGGCTGAGGAGGGAATCTAGAAGAATTACTGGTAAGAGTGAGACAGATATGTGCGATGAAGTCTGCATCACTCAAAGGAGTCTGCGCTCTACTCAAGTGATGAAAGTTCTCACGTTTACTATGCAGTGCTATCTGCAGATGTTGAGGTGCTAAGCTATTGAGCAGCATCAGCGTTTCTAAACTGCAAGCATGATATCACCCTATTTTCACTTTTCCTCAGGGAAGGGGATCAATATATGTCCTTTGCCCTTAATGAAGAATCAATGCACCCAGCACGTTCAGAATAGTGAGGTCATGGTCAAGAAGGTCACAGACCAGTGGAGCAAAGGCCACAGGGGTCATGTGCACAAAATGAACATCACATAAATAAAAATACCACAGTTACAATGAACAGCTATAATAATGGCTATTCTTAGATCAATAATTGCTCAATGAACATTATAAATTGTTTCCAGCTCCTATAGTCTTATTGGAAGTTGTCGTAAAATACCTACGCAAAGCTTTTGTCTGCATATCAGTTCAATTCAAGTCACAGCCTAGTTCGAAATGCAACTACACTCTTA